CGAAGAAGTCTGTGCCCCTATGTGGGAAATACTACATGTATCATAATAAAATCCACAACTTGATGTCTTTACACTTGGATGTTATATGAACTGGACAAACAAGATATATCATGTGAACTTTAAGTATCTGAGTATCGACAAGTTCCTTTTTTAACTTGCCAGACAGAAGCGCAAATTGATTGGAGCAGAATGCGATCAGTGCAGTTTGTCAGTCAGCACGATTATGCAAAAAATCTCAAGGTGAAAGTGATTAAACTTGGTGGAGAGGAGAAGCATGGGCAAAGGAGGAAGCTGTTCTACTTGGTGAATATCGGTCTCACCATCTTAACCGTGAAATAGGGAATTGGCTTTGGCAGTGGATCCTTGAGTTCTCTTGTTTTATTTAACCTGAACAAAGCTGGGGTAGCTGTTTCCCTCCATTTCCAGTCTTTATGCACATCCTGTGAGGTTATCAAAACTTTAAATATTGTCTCTTTGCTTTTGTATGAATTAAACAATCAGGATACAACATGTTTGCAACATTAACCAGTAACTGTTATATTTTGTGTTTCGCTCCATTTCCAGTATTCGTACAAATCCAAAATCCAAGCTCTACTTAAGTGGTCAATTATGACTAAATATTTTTCAACAAACAACATAATATGTTAGACATAAACTCCTATAGTGTACATAAGCATTACAGCCATCTACACTCACCAGCCACTTTATTAGGGACGTGTTCAACTATATTAAATCAGTTATTTAAATGGCAACGATAACACATTTAGGCATGTAAACATAGCCAAGAGAAAATGAACATTAGAAAGGGGAAGAAAGGTGAGTTCAGTGACTTTTAATGTGGCATGGTGCCCGATGCATTTCAGAACCTGCTAATCTACTGGGATTTTCCCACACAACAAGAGAAAAGATCCAGTGAGAGCAACAGTTCACTGGTTCAAGCTGATAAGAAGGCAACAGTAACTCAAATAACTACTCGTTACAACCAAGGGAGAGATTTGCATCATAGATGTGTTTGGATGTTTCCAGCATGTTGCTGAATCTCTGCCAAGAAGAATTAAAACCTTTCTTAAGGTTAAAGGTGCTCCAACACCAGACTAATGCCTAAAATGTACTTTACAAAGTGGTCAGTGAGACTTATTTGAAAGCATTTGTAAAGACAGAAAAGTCACGGTAATTTGCAATTGGCTCAAACACCGCGCACAGATGATCATCATACTAGTTCCCACAGCTTTACTAAACTAACTGGTTTATGACATTTTGTTTACCGAGGTGAATTCAGCTGTGCTCAGTCTTGCCATTTAAGACCCAGCAGTGATAGCAAAGGTAGCGGGTGTGTCTGTGTTTTGCCATGTGTTTGTACCAATCTCCTGCCTCGTGCTCGCAACTCCAACACCGTACTTCATGGTGACTTCAGCTGCGGAGTCAGCACATGGACCTGTATTCTCAGCGAAGCCGAGGTAATTATACGAGCCCAGGTTAATCACATCCTGCACTACCCGACCCGTGTATCTGCAAGAGAGGGCGAGAGGAGAAGATAAACAGACACAGGAAACAATCAATGAGAAGAAACTAATGATTTGGGAAACAGATTGGTATAATTAATAGTAATGATTGGTAGAAGTAATTAAAAACTAGACTGAGAGGTTTGATAGCATCAGCGTGCTCTTTTTTGTTTTTCCAATCTTTCTGGTCTCTGTCTCTCCCACATCTTCTCACTTGTGTGTTTTGTTTGACTTCACGAACATTATAGATCTTAAGTTGGACCGATTTTAATATGAGATGAACGCTACATGCGCTGTTCATTCTGGGGTTATCACCTTCATAATATAAAGAGTGCGAATATATATATACAATGTACAAAACTGCTACATATACAATTCTGTACTAAAGTCTTAGAGCCATTCAACATGTTTTTATATTTTGCAGCCAAGAACCAGAATGACGTGCAATTTTTAAAGTTGTCTTGAGGAACAATTGTCCAGGCTTCCTGAAAGTCTTTCAATGGTTTTTATTTCCAGTCCAGTCTTTGTACCTGAACATTTTCAGACACATGCCTTCTTTGTTAAGCCACTTAACACTGAAATATAAACACTTAAGCATAAAAAAAGGCACCTAACTCGCTGGATGAGCCGGTGTTGTGTCTCCACAAACAGACAACTTGGCAAAGAGCAAACTTTAAACTATTAAACTGTAGCTTTGTTATTAGCACCGTGCTGCAAAACCACAGAATTTGTTCACATTTCTTTAGTTAAATCTACAAAAAGGTCAAAGGTAACACAGTCTGACAAGCAAAAAAAAAAAATAGCATTTTTATTTCTTTTTGCATCAACAGGATGATTTCCAAAGCACACCACGAGACAAATTAAAAACACAATCCAACCTTCCCTGTCCACCTTAACTGTTCATGTGCATGCAACCAAACCCTCCTTAAGGATTAGTGATCAATGGACTCTAAACAACAAGCTTCTGGTCTTATGTCTTGTCTTATGTTTATATTGTCTGAGTACACATGTTCTGTCTGTTCATAGAATTTACATACTACACACAGAGGTAAACAAGGTGAGAATCCTACCTGCTCTATGCAATATAATGCTGTAATAAATGTGTTCAAGATTTCTCTACTTTTATTAGGATCTAGAGAAATAAACTTTATTAGGAACAACTCTACACCTTCTGAGTCACTTATCCAATCAGCTAAAACAGGATTTTCACCACAACAGCCTTTAGTGTGAAACAAAAGTAACAAACCTCCAGTGAGCAGCTTCTTTTATTACTTTGTGCTCAAAAAAAGAGAAATTCAACAGAAAGCTAAGGCTGGAGTGGGCACAGACTCTGTCAAAAGAGGACAGTTCAAAAGGAAAAGCAACCTGGTCTGATAAATCTTGAATTCTGTTCCAAATTAATGCACCAAGTCACAAACCAAAACTCCTATTATAGTCATACAGTCGTATCATATCAGGGGATATTGGGGATGTGTATTAATATTAATGTCCAGATGAAAAATTTCTATGAAAACCACATCAATCTCAAAGGCAGGTTTCCAGCATCTTTTGAATTCCACAACTCAGTTAAGGTAGTTGTGTGTCTATTATGCAAACACATTAAGCAAATGTCACCTGATATCTGGCTGATTTATCAGTCTAGTGCTATTGTACTGTACATTAGTTTTCGTGTTTTATTTAATCAGGGGTAATGGAAAGGCGTGCCGGAGCTTTTAAAAAGCCGTGTCCAGAGAGAGACGTCTGGAACCTGGCCAACTTTGTGTGATGTTGGTAACATAGCAGTTATAAAGCATACTTCCCATTGCTATTGTGTGCCTGAAATCCTTAAGGTTAGCTTAATGATAACAATATTTGCGCTCTTGAATGAAAGCTACATTAATCTCACTCAAAAGTCCAGTTGTAGTCGTAGGTGGCTCGTTCCATCAGATCCATCTTGGCTCCCGGGACGCTGCATATAGGCCTGTTCCAGTTGTCTCTTATCCGCATATAGAGGTTTCTGGTGTAAAAGTTCTCGAAATCCTGGTAGAGCGGTACAAAATCCTACACATGGATGACAAGGTAGATAATAAAGGAAAGTAAAAAGCAGCACAACATACAGGAATTTTCTCCTACATCACTGGTATTTCCTGTAACGATATCTAGATCTTCACAGTTTCAAGTTTCTTCAAAAGCTCACAAGGAAAGAATTTAATCTCATCCAGTTTAAGCATTACAACAACATTTAAAAGAACACACATGATCAAGGGAGCTGATATTCCTTGTTTCATGGAGGAAAACATCCGTCCGATATAGTCGGGCCCATTTAATGATTTCCCCACGAAAGGCTTCCTTTCCTTGACATAACTAAATTCTGAGAACAATGGGCTTTACTTTCACACATTACATAAGATGTTGGAAACAAAAGTGAGTGACACAGAAGACATTCTAAACATGTTCCACCTCTAACAAAAATGCAATCTTAAGCATGCACACTTTGGATTAAAGGCAACAAAGAATATTTCTATGTAAAGTTCCCCATAGCTGGGCATAATTACAGCTGACAGGTTCATTTCAAACAACTGATGCTTGCTTTCTTTAAAAAACAAAAAAATAAAAAAAACACCAAGCTTCAAGCAATGCTGATTAAAATGTTTGCAATATGACAACCTACATTGCAGATTCTAGTGATTGGGATGGATGCTTGCTTTGTAGTGTGCAAATATCACATTGGCTTACTTTGATTAATGAAACTACAAAAGGTTCCCCCCCCTTTTTGTTATCACTACTGTTCCCGCACAAACACTGCAACAATTTGGTCACCAGGCAACATGTAATTAGAGCTCAGTCTCCCAGATAAGAACCATTCAACACCTGAAATGCGAGATGAATCCCTGCCAGAAGCAATCATAACGCTACAGCTACTGCGTTTAGGTAAAGGGCAGCCAAGTTTCTCAACTGCTGCCTTTATCTGGAATTTCTTAGCATGAGCCCTAACTTTGATTACCACCTTTTACATCAATTGATTTTGTGTTCCTGCAAATTTACTGTTGCATTTGTTTTTCATCCTACCTTTTGCTCCTCTTTCTCTCTGGCGATGTGGCACCTTTCAATCTTCCAGTAACGAAGGAAGTCACGGAGGTAGCCAAAGATGGTCAGGATGCCGTAGCCCATGTATGTGAGCACTGCCACCATCATGGGGGTCTCTTCAAAGTACTCGATGAAGGGCCGGCTGTACAGCCTGCTGTTGTATGACGCTGCATAGACCTATGTAAATCAGAAAATGTACAGAAGCAAGTGGTTTAATTATTTTAATGAAAGACATGAAATAATATCTGCCATGCAAACTAGGAATCACAAAATTACTTAAAACAATCCAAACAATACAATCACAACATTTTTCCAACACTAAATGAACTTCAAGACTCATGAAACATTATCATCTGCATTGCTGAACAGAGAAAAGTGGTAAAGAAGTACAAAAAAAAAAAAAAATGCTGAAATTTTGGTTAAATTATTCCCTTTTTAAATAAAATATATACAAGTTTGGCATAATGATGATTGTGTTGTAAGTGGCAGCAATGTGACTTATCACTATGTAGTACTAGCATGTTTCACATCACGCTGTGTTACTATTTGTGCGTAATTGGAGCCAATGCAAAAAACAAACAAACAAAAAAAACAGCTTAAATTTCTTCAATAAAGTAGTTTATTGTCAGTAAATGTAACAGGACGCTTCTTAAGTCCAAGCTATAGAACAAGGCTCACACTGCAGCCCACAGCTTCCATGGTTTACATTTGGTCATACAAGTTATGCAATGAAACGTGACAACTGATTCAAAACTTTGCTGAATAAAAATAACCAATTTAATCTGTTATAATAATCTTGTGGCAAAAGGCATCTTTCAATGTGTATGGGTGCTTAAGAAGCTGTGAAGAATTGTGTTTATACTTGAATCTGTCACATTCAAACAGCACATTTAAAAAATAACAACTTTAAATGTAAGTGGGAGCATGTGCTCAGAGGTGAGTCAAGCAGGGAAAAGAGCTTAAAACGCTTCAGTTTTCAAGAGGAGTTCATACAAGCAAAGCGCAGGTACCGTATACACTACACTTTGTAATTATAGTACAAAGAAAGGTCGCTTCACTTTTAACACTCCATAATATTGAATGCAGCCATTTCTGTCACTCACGCAGCAGGTTGCTCTCATTGCATGTTTATAATGTGTTCCACATTGAGATAACATCTCTTTGTGTTCACTGTGATGTGCTGTGATCTGAGCTTGAAGCCTCCGCTCTGTGTTTCAAAGTCGTAAAATCAAACAAAGTCTGAGCAGCTCTGACAGCAGTGAGTCCCTATTTCAGTTTGATTGGTTATTTCTGCAATAAGCCCTGCTTCTCTAAGCTACCATGGTGGAAGAGCTTCTCACTGATAAGATATCAGTCTGCATTAATATGGAGAATTACCACTGAATTATTTCAGAGTTAGGTTTGCCTGTCATATTGGCTCATCTTTCCCTGCCATGTCACTGTAATTTTACCTTTGAAAGTCTTTAACTCAGCTCTGCACAGTGTTGTTCATTGTGAATGGTGTTTGTATAGATGCTGGTAAACAGACTTACATTTTTGACAGTTAGTATACGAGACCAGCGTTGCTAGCTTGCAGGGTGTCTACCTGATGATACTCTGAAAGCCAAAGTGCCAGTAAAAAACAAAGTGAAAAGAAATGAGGAAAACAAACTGCAACAATATGTTTGACAAATCTGCTGATCTAGCTGAAATTAACCTGGGAGTGCTCTAATAATTGAAACATATTTTGAGTAGAGATGCACCGATTTATCCACCTTCTTCACCAAAATTAGCTCGCTAGTATCTTAATAATGGCAGTGGCTGATATTTTGTGCTGTGTAACATCAAAGAGCTGAAAATTAAAACAAACAAAAAAAAAAAAATACACAAACTTGATTTGCTGCTCTTCAAATATAGTCGTCTTTGTCATATCTGGTGCTAAACTACATTTTATTCAATTTCTTCACCATTTTCCAATTTATATGAAACCTTTAAGTGAAAAATATCCTTTGATTACTTAAAAATAAAAAAAAGTCAGTAGCTGAAGCCATACTACGCAGGATTATGTTACAGTGATACCCAACCGCTGCTACCTGTATTTATGCAAACCTAGCCTAAAAAGAGATTCACAACATTTCCTAACTAAGACTTTAAAAGGAATAAACTTCCATGTCATTGTGCATACAATATACTTCGCCTCTTCCTTTGTCTTATTTACGAAAAAGTGGTTTAACTTTTGTTTTTATTGGCTGACATTTAGATGGTTCACTTAGAGGTACTTATTTAAAGCCAGACTGTATGAAAAAGGAAGATAAGACCAAACTATTACGTTCTGGTTCAGCTCTGTACTCAGGGAAGTAAACAGGGAGAGCGATGATTTGACTGCCAAATAAGGGAGGAGAAGGTTGTGTTGATAAACTTGAGCAGATAGAATTTACTTTCTAATGTTTTTTCTTCTACATCTTGATAAGTAATCGGATAGACAATGAAACCTAATGGGCACTGTGCAGTTCACTTCACTATCGCGCTCATGGCTATTAGGGCATTGCATGTGACCGGTCATGCCTTTCCCTCAAATTCCTTACAGAATAGCAACGCTGACATCTGCATGAACCCTAATCAGCTGAGGTTTAGTCAGCAGGCACTCAGTTTCTTAGCCTGAAAAGCAAATGTGGCAGAAACCCTCTGTGCAATTTGTACCAAATTCTTTAGTGACTAGAATAATCAGATAATAAACAGCAACGTACTTCACGTTATTTTACTTAAGAACCACACGCTGGAGAAAACTGGGATTACTTTCCTCTCAAGAAATATTAATCTGACTCAAACAACAGGGGAAAAAATTCTCTGTATTTTCAATGCCAGTGTTTGTAGCAGCACCTAATCAGTCAGAGGAGGCCCATTAATTGGGCCAGCTACAGAAGATGCACCCAAGGGTGGAAATTTCATTAGCCTATTTGGGAAGAGCTGTTTTGCAGCATGCACTCAAGTCTCAGCGGACAGCTTGAAGTGAACAGGTGCACTGGTTCAGTGTCTCCCTAATCACTAACTCATCACAGTTTCAGTGTGGATTGCAAATGGAAGCCAACCGCCTCATGAAAGAGAAATGTTTCCAGACTTTTACTGCCAAACAAGTGAGAGAAAAGTACAGCCAAGATGAACAGAGCCAAAGAACGAGATTTAAAACTAAAACAGAAAGAAAAAGCTGACATATTGCACGAAATAAACACAACAATCTCTCTAAAGAACAATCAACTGAGTGGATGAGTTTTAGATTTGTTTCACATTGTCTGGAGTTATTCCATTCCCAGTTTGAGCCTCTGATCAAAGTCACAAACCTGGACTCCTCTTAAAATGGGTTGGAGAGCATCAAGGAGCCATTCACAAAGTTTAGACTTTGATTTAAAAAATAAAAATATTATAATGGGGAATTAAAACGCTGCTGTAAGTCATTGAGAAAAAACGAGGTATCTAACCTGACAAATAAGCTGAAACTTTTTAAAGTAGACTTTTAAAAAAAATGGAGCTGGGCGTTTACTTTGTACAGGAGCCGGGAAACAGAACTCGATGACAGCATGCTGTGAGACTGCTGTCAGCAGCAGGACTCGGTCAGCTGTCATACCCGAACACCACAGGACTTTATCATAATAACGGGAATTTAACAGCATCCTTCGGTGTCACGAGTCCACAGAGTGGATGCTTTCCCCGGCTTCACCAACCCATCCGACTCGTCCCATCCCGGGCCTCACCTCCTCCTCGGCGGTGTGGCAGCGGTTCTTGGGCGGCCGCTCATGGCAGGGACGGGGGTAGAGGCTCTTTGCCAAACCGTTTCTCTCCGGCTTCAGCCCGTTCTTCACCCGCCGACACACTTCGTCGTCGGCTGCTTTGGTCTCGGGGCTTTCGGTCATTGCTGGGCAGGAATGGTGGAGCTGCCACAGTAACTTGCATGTAGGAACACGGAGCCTGCCCGCGGTGCAAAGCGGTGACAGTATCCGAGCAGTGAACGTTTACAAACACACGCACTACAAACTGCCTGACACGCTCACATCCACGAACAGCAATCACACGCACAGCCCACTCCCTGTGTAACCTGAAAATCTAGATACTCAATACCGGAAAACAACGCCCCGTAAACCAAGCCTGTCCTGGTGGGGGCGGGGCCATAATGTCTACAGAGAGGCGTGGCTTAAATTATGTACATTTGATTACAACTCATTACAGATGTTTTTGATGTCATTTAAAATAAATAAATAAATAAAATATTACAAATTAGTCATAAGTACATGAGGTTCAGGAGGATTAACAGAAATTATACAATTAAAAACTAAACTTAAAGTGTTAATATTTATAATATTTCACAATAAATTTGAAATGATTAGCATGAGGGGGTAAAATCGCCATAGTTTCATCACGTTTCGTCAGTACTTCCAAACAGTACTTCCAAACAGGGAAAGAAAAACTGAAAACTTCAAAGCAGCTTTAAAACACTAACAGCAGTTAAGAAGCTAATCAAGGGTGATTTTAACCCCCTAACCCTACCCTTAAAACTATTCTCAAAATTCTAATATAAAGTCCACACATGTGAAGGCACCTTATTTTCTGGAAATAGTACTGCACTTTGAATATAAACATTATGTAGATAATAGGTATTGATTTGCAAATAACTGTAAATGAATAACTTGAGGTTATGATATAATGATATACTACTATTCTCTATAGTGTTATCTTATCTTATGTGTTATCTTTAAAGATATAGATATATACTTTCCAGGTCAACTTGACAGAAAAGCAAGATGAAATGTAAATGTTAACTCAAAGGTCAAATGGGAGATGATATTTAAAGGCAGTAGAATTGTGAGCATAGTCTTGAAGATAAAAAGACATTTTTTGAAAGCTTCACTAGAATCCCCACAAATTATTCCCTGTATACCTATATGCAAGAAACATAGTTTTAAATAGTTGTATATATATATGTTTAATATCAATTTGACATTGAAATCAATCTATTGACCTTGAAGGAGAGGTCAGAGGTCAAATGTGACCTAATATTTTAAACCTTTATACGGTGCACTTGTAAAAATCACAGTTTATAGTTATAAGACATTTTTTTGGGATCAATTTTCTTCCAATAAATCATAGATTTGACCTTAAAGACCCTGGTGGATGTAAGCCAGATTTCAGTGGTTTGTTAACATGACTCTACTTTACACTCCTACCAAGTTTTATCAGAATTCATTCAAAACCTCTCCCGCTGTTGTACTTACATACAGAATGACATGCCTGCACCCATGCACGTACGCAAATGCTATCAGAAAAATACATCCCCCCCTTAGTGGAGGTACTTATTATGGCGTCAGAAGTGCAAGATGGTTTGATATCAAATGGCACCACATTCTTTAAACAATAAAAAACTCTGTGTTTGACGGAAAAAAGAACAAAACACTAGACTTTAATTTGAATCTTGGCTGTGTTTATCCTTCCTTCACGTGTCACATCTGTCTGTAGTCCATCACACACAGTGACAAACAGAAAAAGCTGAAAACACTTCCCAGTCGTCTGAGTTCAGGTTGAACAGCATATCTTCAGGCACGCATTCCGTTTGTTGGCACAGGAGCAAAAATTCCCATTAAGTAAGCTGCTTATTATTCCACTGCAGCCCCAGATTTAATAAACACAATTACAAATTGCAAAGAAATCTTTAATGAGCTTGATAAATGAGATGGAGCAATCTTCTTATGTGTCGTATCAGATTTTTAACTAATTATGGAACTGTAGCTTGTCATATGTGTGCAAATAGAAACACGAACATGCTCACAAGTCTTAAAAAAAATCATCCACTTAATATGAGATAAAAGGTGGTGCAAGTTCTCTCAGATTTCTTTGTGGATTCATGTCTTTGCACTGCCCTGTTAAAGGCTTTCAGAACACATTCTACAAGATCACGAGTTAAGCATCAAACCAGCTTTCTGACTCACTGTCCTTGTGACTGCGATCATTTCTGCTGAAAATACAGTCTAGCTACCCCCTCTTGTGGCGCAAGGTTGGAATGGCAACAAGTGAAAATTGCTGTGTAAAAATAAAGACTGAAGACCTGAGACTGATGGCCTCAGGAACACATAGTAAAGGGTCAGGAAAACAAATGTCAATGAAAATGTTGATAGAGTTTGGGTGCTGCTAATTGAAGAGCCAGACAATATAATGATATTAATAATAATAATAATAATTTGATATCTTTCATTTACTTTGAAATGTGCCCAGTCTCTAATTATAAGTGTTCGGACCGTGCATTGCACCTGAGTGATGGTTACAAGGAAACAACACATGGCTTTAATTAAATGCTCATTATTGCCACTAATGACCTAATGTTCTCTGTCAGTCATTTGTCTCTCCCCAATGATTTCATTTGGACAAACATGGTGCCAAGGCCCTGACATGGTATACCATTTAGACTATCACTCTGCATTGCACTATTGATGTCAGTAACTGCATGTACCTGCAAAAAATAATCAAAATAAGTTCCAAATACGTGATTACAATGATTCCTCTATGGTAGTGGAGCATTTGTGATTCCTCTGGTTCGGCTGCCACACACCAGCAACTGCAGTGAGCCTGTGATGGCTATGTATTACAACAGAAACTGTGATTTCCTCACTATTTTCTTCTCCGAAATGAGCTCCCGTGCCAGTGGGAAATAAGCAGCATGCATTACACTGAACGTTTGACCTAATCTGTGTCATTTCAATTTGATGGCCATTTTGCTATTCTCCCTGTCTGATAGGTTACGATGACGCATCCTATCGCATTCTTTTACTGCTTCCTTGTCATGAGTGAAGGGCTTGCATCAAGCAACACACCCCGCAGGAGCGTTCCCGTCCAAGGTAAGACATCTTATTTACATGATAGTTTGAAAGAGAGCCTAACAGCAGTACACAGTGACTAATGAAGAGCAAATTATTTTATATACTATGCAGTGTGATATATATATATATATATAATACTAAAGGAACTCTGCTGGAGAGATGGAAAATATTAACAGAAGATGTTGGTGTTTTAAAGTTGGTGTCAGAGATCACTGCCTAACATTTCAGTCCAGGTCTAGATTTGGTGATCGGATAAGTAGGTATGAAAAATGTGTTATTCCCATTCCTGATTTCCTTTTATTGTATGTTTGTCACACAGATTTAAATACATTTAAAAATTAATTTAAAAATGTAAATATTAGACAAACATAACATAACATAGCATATATTAGACAAATATATTCTACTCCAGATGTTATTGGAGACACACCTTTTAAAAGTTCAACTTTTGTCTGGTCAGTCCACAGAGTATTTTTCCAAGTCTTGGGGATCATCAAGATGTTTTCTTGCAAAACTGAGATGAGCCTTTACCCGTATGTTCCTTTTGCTTAGCAGTGGTTTTTGTCTTGACTGACTTTAACTGAGGCAAGTGGGACCTGCAGTTCCTTGGATGTTGTTATAAACACCTTCATTAAAAAACTTGCTTGTGTTATCTTTGTCTAATATTTACATTTGTTTGATGATCTAAAACATTTAAGTGTGACAAACATACAAAATAACAGGAAATCAGGAAGGTGGCGAACACTTTTTCCACAGCACTTTATAATCTGAAGCGCTGTGTCTATAGACTGGCTGTCATCTTGCTAGACACCGGTTCTATCACGATTGTAATATTTCATCACATGATGAAAGGTTATCACAGAATAATCCTGTATTGTTATGCAGTGACCTTTTATTTTTGGTAACAGTGCACCCACATCATGCCAGAGCATATCAGAGCCACTGGATCCCCTCACTTTAGGTGTCAAGGGTTCTTGTTTCTCCTTCAAATCCATTGCATACACCATCATGCTTTAACAGTCATGCTAATTGGTTTCTGGAGCAATGTCACTATTATTATTATTATAATAACCATTATTATGCAGCTAAAATTCAGCTTTTTGACCTAACCTAGGCAAATATTTGTAGGGTCACCTTCGACAAAGCATTGATATACATATATATTACAATATATATGATTAAGAATATTCTAAATCAAAGCACACAGTTATAATAAAACAGGCATTTATGCATTTTTTGTTGAAAACTTGATAGACTACGCAGCATAACACATCAAAGTGGACATTATTAAAATGCATGGGTTTGAATGATAACCTCAAGCTCCTTGTCCACCTGTCTGCCCTAGACATAAACTTGAAACAGTTCAAAGAGTCTGGCTTTGACAGTTTGAGCTCTTTGATGGTAAGAGAAGACATTGGTCAGCTTGTCCTTGGCGCCAGAGGGAAAGTGCTCACCCTTAGCTTGGATGACATCACCAAACAGACCAGCGAGGTATGACCTTTGTTTGTCTGAGTAGACCGCTGTGCTCTATTTCAGAATGGCGACCCCATTTTAATGTGAAAGAATTAATCTGCATGTTTCAAAATACTCAAACAGAGAACCATAAGAAGCTTGTCAAACATAAAAGAGTCTTGGTCATTACCAGTAGTTTTTTCTTCCAGAATAAATGGGCTGTGAGCTCTGCAGATAAAGACCTCTGTCAGATGAAGGGCAAGAGTGCTGAGGTATAGTAAAACGTTAGCAAATATTATCAGCTCTACGTGGAGGTTTTCACTCCCAAACACAACTTACAGTTTGGGACTTCATTCCTTTATTTGTGTATGGTCTTCCAACAGGAATGTGATAACTTTATCAGGACCCTGCACACAATGGAGGACAGTAAAATGCTTGTGTGTGGGACAAACGCTTTCAACCCTGTGTGTGACTATATGGTAAGTATCTTTGTTAAAGGAAACTTAGAATACACAGGACCAAACGTAAAGACATGGTATGCCACTAAATCAGGAAAATAAAATATCCGAAATGGAAAAAGAGATGATGAATATATTTCCAAAGACAAGCATCGGCTTGCATTTCAATTTGCAGCTGGAGCAACAGAGCAAAAATATATCAAATTAACAATTTAGTAGAAATAACGCATAATATTCAAACAGACACCATTACTTTACATCTTCAACAGTAAAATATTAAACTTCAGGGACTGAACTGTCATCTATGGTTGCTAAATAGCTTTATAGATAATCTTAGCCTAACTGTTTGTACCATCATTGTAAACAGTCATATTGTTTGC